AAGGTTAAGAACCTCTCTTTTACAAGGTCGGCATTTCATTCATCACATCTTTAGCATGACAACTGAATTTTAAGGTAGGCGTAAGCGTATCTTTTTTCCCGTACTTTTCCGTTACTTTTCGGCCTTTTCCGTTAATTTTCGACCTTTTCCATTACTTTTCTGAGACGGGCTCAATCACAAAAGCATGAATACGGTAATTCGGTCTGACCGTCGACTCATGTAAACAGATAGTAAATAAATGCTGAAAGTAACTTTTTGAAGCTCATGATATCATATGAAAGTTAACTAAGATTCATGTTAAATATTCAATGTTCAAATTTCACGTAAAACCTGACTTGGCGCCAGATCCTAGCATTTTTTAACACTTACAGGATTGGAGCAGTACCTCTAGACGCTTGCAGAAATCATTATCAGAAAAAAAGTCAAATATCGTTTGTTTGCCGATTTTTAAATTTTTCAGTCATAATCATACATAAATCGGTGTGAAAAGATGAATTAGACCTTTTAAATTTCATTCCGTTGGGTAAAAAGGCAAGATTTTAGAATTTTATCATTCAAGCGCCGTGTCCGGTATATACCGGAATACGGTATTTAGTGTGGTGCTCCAATCTTTTTTTGAATCTCACTCTTACGGTCCTCTACATATCACTAACAGGTTTGAACAATAATACATGTACATTTATTTTTGAGAATTTTACTTCGAGAAAAACGAGGCTCATTTTTTTACGGTTTATGGACTTATTTCATAATAATCAATTAGAAATCTACTCATAATCTAAGTGTTCATAATTTTATAATAAAAACATACAAAACAAAGTTGTCTGCTTACCGGATAAGACGTAATGTAAGGAAATGTAACTCTTGACAAATATACACAGCTACAGTAACTGTAACTTACAGAACGACACGGTTTGGCGTAAACTTCACCCATGTTCACCCCTTATTTAAAAAAAATCAATGAAACGCAACGAAGACTTTTGCATGCCTCAGTGAAGCGAAAATTTGTGCAACACCCAACATCAAATTTGGCTGGGTAGATCGTTGAATTAATAGTTTCAGACAAATTCACAGGCAATAGGACTGGCTATTTCGCAGTTGAAGGTTTGCTTAACTCATATTATTTTTTTATATATAACACATAATCTGGCAAATTATACTATAACAAGTTTAAAACAATGTAAAATCAGTTATTTGCATACCTCAAAAGATAGGTAAAACAAAAAATGTCTTTGAAATAAAATCGTTTGTTACATGCATATATAATATTATTTGAGCGATAACATATTAAACCGTTTTCCTAACAAAATATTGAACTACTGTTTTGAATACTGAGTATATTTGATGATTTCGCGCATTCGCCACTATGGTAAGATTTTCTTGTAATTTAGGTATTTTGATAAATATTTAATTTAATATGTTCTTTAATACTGACGTCCCAACTTAGTTTCTATTCCACTTAAGGAAAGCCAGTTATGAAAGGCGTATAAGCTATAGATGTACTTAAAAGTGTTTTACTCTGGATCACGACTTTACTATAGGGACACATCAAACAAACGTCATAATTTATCTTTTATTGCAGCGTAATACACCATATTTTTTTTTTCTTCTTGTTACATAATTTGGTTAAACATGTTCCGTCAATAATTTTTAAATGTTGAAACAACGCTATCTTAATGGGCTTGCAACATGTTTTTATCACACACCCGTGCCGATTTTGCGACTCCATAAAAAATGGTATTGCACGGCCGTGCATATATTTTGACGTGACGTCATTAGCGTTATACACACATATTGTAAAGACGCGCTGAATGTTAGCGTTATACTATAGGCGCGTCCTTGAAAATGACTATTTTTTTTACTTTAAACGGTCTTTATTTTGGGTATGTGATAAATAGAATATTAAATTCGTGTAAGCTCATTACTGAATATATTGCACTCGTTGAATAAAATAATAATATGCTCGCCTCTATATATTATCTATGAAGGAGTTACATAAGGATTTGTGTATTCGTTTACTAGAAGCTCATGTTAAAAGTTCTACAATTATGATTAGAACGAGAGTATGGCAAAATTACATGACGGCATTGTCACATCCCTTGTAGATCTTGTCAAATAAAGTTGAGAATTACAAACCAAGAATTGGAATGCAAATTGGAGCACCGTTCGTAACGGCGAAAAGGATGCGCATAGTCGAATGGATATATAAAATGATATTATACAAGGAATGACCACGGCACCTGTTTTTTTTTCAGGAAAATAAAAGGAGACAATACCTTTGTGTTGTTTCCCCATGGTCACATGGCGACAATACGATAGTGCGAAAATACTATTGCGTTGCCACCACCGCGGTATCGTACTGTCGACATCACGTTATCGTACTGTCGTCATCGCGTTATCGCACTGTAGCTTAATCGCACTGTCGTCATCGCATTTTCGCTCTGTCGTCTTCGCGTTATCGCATTGTCGTCATCGCACTATCGTATTGTCGCATTGTCAATCTTATCAAGGAAGCTAACGCGTATAGGTGAATGTTTTTATTCAAGTGTGCATTGGGGCTGGTGAACGAGCGTGCGTGCATGTATGTGTGGATGGTGGCATGCATGTGTTTATGATGGAGATTTGCGTGTCTGTTCCCCGTGAAGGAAACTTTACAAGCTGCAGAAGTATCGACAATTCTTTCAGTTGCACTAAATTTTAATATTGTTACATTTCAGATGTTTTGGATTGTTGCAATAAGCGTATGTCTCTGCACAGCGCATGCGTGTGAGTATGGCCGAGAAAGTGGCTTGTTTAGAAACACATTTACGAGCACTTTAGGAACAAATAATGTTGAAGCTGACACGGACACGGATTCAAATCCAGCTTTTGGTCAAAGCAAGGTAGTAACGTTTGCCAACCCGTTTAGGATATTTTCAGACACCGATCAGACAAGCGTAACGGTAAGCGTTTTGATTCTTTTTTAATATAATGATCGTTTGACGATTTTTGCCTTCTCATGTTGCCATTTTGAATAGCCATCTGTACACGACGAAGATCGTCCGTGTTCGAAAAGTCGTCAAAATAGTGATTTATAATATATAAAAATGGACTGTTAATCGAATTAAAGCGTTGAACTCAACTTTTCCATTCTCGTATTTACAAAATAACCAAAAGAAGTGCATACTTCTAAACCGTTAAATATCTAAATCTGGACAAAACCATTCATAAATTTGGGGGATTTTTTAACATTATCTGAATAACTGAAAAGCGGTCAATATTTTAACCTTGATTAGATGACACGGGCATGCTGCCTGATCATGACGTAACATCAAACACTTTAATATGATTGGACGATGGCGTAAGCTTCGTTGACCAATCAAACACATTTGATTTTTAACAACGGCTTCAATCGGCCAATGATATAGCTTGCTACAGAATATAACTTTATGTTTTACTACTATCATATAGAGAAAATATATGATAATTATTGCATCATTATTTCGACAAAAATCAGTGCATTGACCAATTCAAATCAATTAGGTCATCTATTCTTGATAATAAATTTTATTTAATGACAAGACTGGTGACATTTCCGGAGTCTGTACTATCAGTGTCTAGAGGGACGGATTGACACTCATTAAGTTAAGACAACCACCCACCACAAAAATAGTTAATAATTGTTCGATTACCTCGCCCCATAGTCTGTCCACATAGCACAATCGTTGAGAAACTTGTAATATCGAGTTTGTGGGTTCAAATACCGAACTGGCCATCTAAAGTAACTAGATGAGAGTATCGAGAAGTTAGCACTGACATCGAAGATCGAAGATCGAAATTCAGTTTAAAGTGAATATCGAGCTAGCTTTGAACTTCGAACTAGCTCGAAGATCGAAATTCAAAGTAAACCAAAGCTGAATTTCGAGCTGGAGATGAATTTCGAGCTAGCTCGAAGATCGAAATTCAAAATTTTCAAAAGTTGAATTTCGAGCTGGAGTTGAATTTCGAGCCAGCTCGAAGATCGAAATTCAAAATTTTCAAAACCCGAATTTCGAGCTGGGGTTGAATTTCGAGCCAGCTCGAAGATCGAAATTCAAAATTTTCAAAAGTTGAATTCGAGCTGGAGTTGAATTTCGAGCCAGCTCGAAGATCGAAATTCAAAATTTTCAAAAGTTGAATTTCGAGCTGGAGTTGAATTTCGAGCCAGCTCGAAGATCGAAATTCAAAATTTTCAAAAGTTGAATTTCGAGCTGGAGTTGAATTTCGAGCCAGCTCGAAGATCGAAATTCAAAATTTTCAAAAGTTGAATTTCGAGCTGGAGTTGAATTTCGAGCCCTTTCATATATATGCACGAAACTACATCGATAATTCCTTTTGTCTATTTTTATTGATGTATTTATATTACTTTTCAAACGAAGTATCTTCACCTCCTTTATTATATGTTTTGCATTTCATATTACAAATGTATGATTATTTTAACTTTCAAGGGACAAAAAGAAATACAATATCTTTAAGTTCATATGCGTATTAATCATATATTTATTTTGCCAGACAAATACAATTTAAAAAATAAGAAAAAAAAACAACAGTTTCCAACGCGCTAGCTTAATTTACTTTCATATTAATAAGCAGTCTTACTTACTGTGCTATACAGTCAAACGAAGATAACATCTCATAAAATACAATTTGTATAACTTTCAATGTAATTATTTGGTTAATCACTTGCAGTTACCTATGTTTACCTGAGGACTGTGCTGGTATTTTTAGAACTGACGAAAGTTCTATAGAAATTCTTATTTTTAAACCGCTAAATATCTTAATCTGGACAAAACCATTCATAAATTTGGGGGATTTTTTAAAATAATCTAAACAACTGAACAGCGAACAATTTTCACCTTGATTAGATGATACGGGCGTGCTGTCTGATCATGGCCTGCACTAGTCTCATGACGTAACATCAAACACTTTAATATGATTGGACGATGGCGTAAGCTTCGTTGAGCAATCAAACACATTTGATTTTTAACAACGGCTTCAATCGACCAATGACTACAGAATATAACTTTATGTTTTTACTACTATTATATAGAGAAAATATATGATAATTATTGCATCATTATTTCGACAAAAATCAGTGCATTGACCAATTCAAATCAATTAGGTCATCTATTCTTGATAATAAATATTATTTAATGACAAGACTGGTGACATTTTCCGGAGTCTGTACTATCAGTGTCTAGAGGGATGGATTGACACTCATTAAGTTAAGACAACCACCCACCACAAAAAATAGTTAATAATTGTTCGATTACCTCGCCCATAGTCTGTCCACATAGATCAATCGTTGAGAAACTTGTAATATCGAGTTTGTGGGGGTTCAAATACCGAACTGGCCATCTAAAGTAACTAGATGAGAGTATCGAGAAGTTAGCACTGACATCGAAGATCGAAGATCGAAATTCAGTTTAAAGTGAATATCGAGCTAGCTTTGAACTTCGAACTAGCTCGAAGATCGAAATTCAAAGTAAACCAAAGCTGAATTTCGAGCTGGAGATGAATTTCGAGCTAGCTCGAAGATCGAAATTCAAAATTTTCAAAACCCGAATTTCGAGCTGGAGTTGAATTTCGAGCCAGCTCGAAGATCGAAATTCAAAATTTTCAAAAGTTGAATTTTGAGCTGGAGTTGAATTTCGAGCCAGCTTGAAGATCGAAATTCAAAATTTTCAAAAAGTTGAATTCGAGCTGGAGTTGAATTTCGAGCCAGCTCGAAGATCGAAATTCAAAATTTTTTCAAAAGTTGAATTTCGAGCTGGAGTTGAATTTCGAGCCAGCTCGAAGATCGAAATTCAAAATTTTCAAAAGTTGAATTTCGAGCTGGAGTTGAATTTCGAGCCAGCTCGAAGATCGAAATTCAAAATTTTCAAAAGTTGAATTTCGAGCTGGAGATGAATTTCGAGCCAGCTCGAAGATCGAAATTCAAAATTTTCAAAAGTTGAATTTCGAGCTGGAGTTGAATTTCGAGCCAGCTCGAAGATCGAAATTCAAAATTTTCAAAAATTGAATTGCGAGCTGGAGTTGAATTTCGACCTCGCTTGACGATCGAAATTCAAAATTTTCAAAAGTTCAATTTCCAGGTTGAGTTAATTTCGAGCCAGCTCGAAGATCGAATTTCAAAATTTTCAAAAACCCGAATTTCGAGCTGGAGTTGAATTTCGAGCCAGCTTGAAGATCGAAATTCAAAATTTTCAAAAGTTCAATTTCGAGGTGGAGTTAATTTCGAGCCAGCTTGAAGATCGAATTTCAAAAATTTTCAAAACCCGAATTTCGAGCTGGAGGTGAATTTCGGGCCAGCTTGAAGATCGAAATTCAAATTTTCAAAAGTTCAATTTCGAGGTGGAGTAAATTTCGAGCCAGCTCGAAGATCGAATTTCAAAATTTTCAAAAACCCGAATTTCGAGCTGGAGTTGAATTTCGGGCCAGCTTGAAGATCGAAATTCAAAATCTTCAAAAGTTGAATTTCGAGCTGGAGTTGAATTTCTTGCCAGCTCGAAGATCGAAATTAAAAATTTTCAAAGGTTGAATTTCGAGCTGGAGTTGAATTTCGAGCCAGCTTCAAGATCGAAATTCAAAATTTTCAAAATTTGAATTTCGAGCTGGAGTTGAATTTCGAGCCAGCTCGAAGATCGAAATTCAAAAGTTTCAAAAGTTGAATTTCGAGCTGACGTTGAATTTCGAGCCAGCTCGAAGATCGAAATTCAAAATTTTCAAAAGTTGAATTTCGCGCTGGAGTTGAATTTTGAGCCAGCTCGAAGATCGAAATTCAAAGTTTTCACAAGTTGAATTTCGAGCTGGAGTTGAATTTCGAGCCAGCTCAAAGATCGAAATTCAAAATTTTCAAAACCCGAATTTCGAGCTGGAGTTGAATTTTGAGCCAGCTTTAATCTGGCAATTTCGTGTCTTTTGAGCCGTAAATTATCTTTTATTTTGACTTCCATTTCTAAAGTTTCGACAATTTTGACAGTTAATATGGTTCTATAACGGATACTTGCATACATTATCCGCTAGGCTTGAATTACTTATAAACGAACTTTTATTTATTTCCTGCAATATAACATGTCAACAATCTAAATTTTTACCAAAAAATAAATAAATTAAAAAAGAATACATGACTTTTTTCATAGACTGACAAAAGTCATTAGACTTCTTTTTTTCCTATGAACTAATAGTCGCCCAGTCAGCTCGATAGGTACAACTTTGGATTTTAAATCCGGCGACCCGGGTTCCATTCCCGGGCGGCGCAATCTCGTTTTTATTCGTATAGATATTTTCTATCAAATTTCATTCCGTTTGTAAAGCAGTTTTTTTTTTAAACGAACCGCAAGCCCTGAGCAGTATAATTTTGAACTAGAAGCTTAAAGTAGATCTTGATATGAAATACTCATTTGCCACAAACATTAACTTTCTTTTGCTCTTTGTCTCTGTTGAAAGGGGTATAATCATAGTAAATGAGCATTTTGTATGGAAGTCAAATATACAACTTTGTTTATATTTTTGGCTACCTTTAAGAAACATTTACTGCACAATCAGCGCAAATTTCATAAGTTGTTAAACATTTTATATACTCTAAAATCTATTATTAAAACAGTATTAAACACCTATTTGTCATTTCTAAAAGAATTAAATATTTTAACGATACGATAAGATATGGTATCATGTAAGCACTTATTACGAGAGCAATACCGTTCCCAAATAACTTTCGTGCAAATTTCGTATAGCGCAGCACCATTCTGCATCAAGCAGAAAGGGAAGCTTAATCTTATGTTGTTATAACTTGTCTCCAACCCATTTGCATTTTGATATATACTCATTATTTGTATAATATATTTTGTAAAACATGTATTTTATGCCAATAAAACTTGTTTAAACTAAAGCACGAATTTGACAAGTTCAACTGCCAAATGCA